TGTTTTAACTAAACCTGCTTCTTCTGCAGGTTCCAGGCATGCCTGTCCTGTGACCTATCAGGTGACCTACCTGTTTTAACTTGACTCCTTCTTCTGCAGGTACCAGGCCAGCCTGTCCTCTGACCTGGAGTGGCAGCAGCGGGAGAGAGGGTCTGAGGTGGAGGTGCAACGAGACCCTCGCACGGGATCCATGCCCATCCTGGAGGAGGTGCAAGTTGACCCCCGCAAGTATTCCCACAGCAGCTCTGAGCGCTTCCTAGAGCATTCCCACTCCTCGCTGGAGCGCGCTGGCCCCGGGGACATGGATTGTGGCCGCTCTTGTGACTACAAGGTGGGCTCCCCCTCCTACCTGGACAAGCTGCTGTGGCGGGATGGCAAGCCCCACCACTACTCGGAGCCCAAGCTCATCCTGGACCTGTCCCACTGGAAGCGGAACAGTCTCCCTGTGTCTGGAGAGGGGAGGAGGGGGAGCAGGCTGGAGGAGCCCTCCCATGAGCCGCCCTCTGACCTTTTCCTGGAGATCTCCCGCTGGGTGGAGAGCACCCAAGCCCGGCTGGAGAGCCCCAGCCCGCCGCCTTTGCTGTTGCCAGCCCCTGAGGTCCAGGACGAGAGTGGTAATGGCCAGCAGCCTCCATCCTCTTCCTCCCAGACGGCATCAGCCCATTTCCTCGCCACTTCCACCCCGGCTCGGCAGCTCACGGACAGCGCCGAACCCCAGTTCGACCTGGATGTCTTCATCTCCCGGGCCCTCAAGCTGTGCAGCAAGCCGGAGGACCTGAATGAGGGCCGGCTGGCCGAGATTAATGGAGCTCACATCCCTGAGCGGCCGGCTGACATTGTGCAGGCCAAGGTCTGCCAGAAGGACCGCTGGTAGAGTGACTGTGGGGTCTGCTTCGAGGCTGGGTCATGAGGAATACTCAATCCTATCCTAGAAGCTGCAAGCTTGAATCTAAATGCACACTTACATCGAGTGGGATGACAACAGTCCTCTTGGATCTACAGTGGCAAGATGAAAGGCAGATAAGGCTGTTCTTAATGGGAACTGTTTTTTTTAAAAAACTGCCTTTCATCTTGAAAAAGATCGTGCAGATGGCCACTTGTGAAATGTACCGAATTATGTAGAAGCTTGAATATGGATTGCGAAGCTAGAATGCATTGGTACAAAAACAGACAAGGATTAACTGTGAACAAAAGTGATTTCAAATCGGACTGCTCTTTTTGAACTGATTGAATACCGCGAGTTTGTGGAGGAAAGGAAATGGTAATGTCTTAGCTGCTACTGAAATGAAAAGCGATGGTTTTGGAATCAGTACTGTAATAATTATTATTTATCATCATCCTCTGAGCACACTCACCCATGATAGCAGATTGTAAAGTGTTCTAACGCCTTTCAAATGGAAATGCACCCTCACACGCAAAAACAAAAGAGAAAAATTAGCAATTGTCCTTCAGTGAAGTGTGGTTTTTGAAGTACATTACCAAGGTGGGGGGTTAATGTTGTGATGACTGCATTACTGCCCAGATCCAGTGCTTATTCAGACAAGCAGAACCTGAACCTGATTGTGAGTTCGTCTATCCTTCTGAAATCTTCATTTGCTATGCAAACGCATGGGGAGATGAATGGGCACTATGCGGTTTAAGTTTGCCAGATAATGACTCAAGGCAGTAAGCAGGACTTATCTAACTAAATGTGTTTTGTGCCTTTCATCAAATAGGTAATGACTTCTTCCTGTTTTCTTTTTTCTTCCACTGGTCTGCATCTCATTATCAGTTCAATTCTCCTGCATTAGAACAGGTTACAGGTTCAGTTAGTGTTTAAAGAGTGGTGCAGCACACACGGAACTACTAACTTAACCAGTAACAGGTTTAAAGATGAGCAAGTCTTTCTCTTTCAGTGACATCACCTCTGACATCCTCACTAATGCAAGAGCTACATTGCTTGAAGCCTGAATGCAGTGCTGGCACACTGATATAAAGAACACAGCAGCGAGTTAATGAGTACGTCTTTATTTAGATTGACTGGTGTACACCTTATATAAGACTCTGGTGCTGTGCCAAATGTGTTCTTCAGCTAATTCTGGATTGTACTGACAATATTTATAATTATCATCTTTTATTAGTTTGTTCACAGCTGTAAATAAACTAGGCCAAACTGGCAAGCAGGCTGTAGCTGCTACTTGAACTGCCAGAGGCTTTCAGAACACCTTTGTGGCAAACCTTTCCATTAACAGCCAGCACAGCACAATGCTGTGTGCTTTTTTGGAAAGGAATCTTGAATTTTAAACTGGGGGCAGTTTTCCAGAAGATTGTCACCATTTTAAATTACACAATAAATTTTATGAAAGATGTCAGGACAGAATGATTCTGCGTCAACCAGCAGATGAGTGGGGAATTGAAATCAGAGCCTTGCCTTAAAATATTTCAAATAGGATCATTTAATTTTGATGCTACCAGCCACACCAAGAGGCTAAACTGTAGCCTCTGAACACAGCACATTTGAACACCCTTAAAAACCCAGGGGAGCAGTGTCACTCTATCAGGCTCTCTTATACTTGATAATCCTATAACACAAGCTCGTTATACTGCCTCAGATGTAGCTGCTGGGGGCAGTCTAAGAATTTTTGTGTGCCCTGCTGTGGAAATGCACAGTTAGATGAACTACTGTTACTCCCCGGTAAGGAGCTCATGTAGTGGTTCTTCTAAAATTGACATAATTTTAATTCTCTTATAGTTCTGCATCACATTAGAGTTCTCTCACACTGTCATTGAAAAATGCAAAAAAGTGTAAACAATTCAATATCATTACAAATTATTATTGATCATAGGTAAATTCCAAAAGATTTTAATTGCGGACTGTCATGTTGGGGAGGTTCTGTGTAGAAGTTTGTGGAACTGCAAAAAGCCTCCTTAACCTTCTTGTGCAGTTGAGTTGCGGGGAAAGCTGGCAATTCAAAGACATTTCAAGAAACATGGACCATGGTGGTGTGAAGAGGATCGCGTGTTTTTCTTGTAGATGGTACATCTTGCTGAGATTGGCACACTGTGGCACAGTTGTAGGAAAGCAATTGAATGGCAAATTAAAAAACGGGGAAAAAAGCTTTTGTGAAAATGTATTGCATTTGACCTTTACGGATTCGATAGGCTAAATTAACTGAACCTAGCGCCTGAGAATCACAATATTCCTGAGAAAGGTCAATCTTTCATCGAATGTGGCTCTGGTCTGTGTATCATTTCTCCATGGGCACTGAGGCCCTGCCTGTCAGCCCGCTGTGAGGACAGAGATGCTGGTGTGTACTGCCGGTTTTGTTTTGGCAGAAGCTGCCCTTGTCAGGAATCCTGCTGAAGCGAAGCAGGTTAGCCAGCTTTATGTTTGCCTTTGGGCATCAGTTTCATTACTCACTTCACAATATTTATGTTAATAGGTCTCCTGCAGCAAAACCTGGTACAGCTTTGTTACAGCACTGTCTTCCCTACGCTGTCATAATTAGGGTACAGAGTTTGTTTTTATTGCTTCTTGGTCTGCTTCCTTCAGTCTATAATTAAATCAAATTACACCATATATTTGCTACCTAAAGGCCTGATTTCTAAATGCAGTCTCACGTGAGTTGAGTTGAATCCTGCAATAGTTTCCTTGTGTGCACAAGTTAATCATAGGGATTTTGTATGATTCTTCAAAAACAAGGTAGGTGTTTGTGACTGTCTGTCTTGTTTCAGACGCCCTCTACCCTTATCCAGCTCTTGCTCCTATGTTCTACAGCCCTTGCAGAGTCCTACATGGCCAAAGATAAGTGTACCCTCCCCTTGTGGGGTTATCACCCAGAGAATTAGTTAAGGAAGGACCTTGAGGTAAAACAAAGGAAAGGGTTTTGGTTGGTGTCTGGCTGCAAATCTGAGGTCTTTACCAGCCTTTGGAATGGCAATGACATGTATTCTTTTCTAGGCCTTTAGGACTGTCCTCAGGACCTGATGCCTACATTGTTGACTGCTGGGTCGAAAGGGTGGTTTGTGCGCCTTTAACAATGCAAGTATCAGCATCACACTCTCAGGGCATAAAGAGCCAACGGGCAGCCAAGGCGAATTGCTTTGTAGGCAACTTCTGTTTTGCAGAGATAGTGCTGAGAGCTGAAATGCAGAGGCTGAGTATGAGCAATGGCCTGCCATGGCTTTGTGGAAAGTCATCTAGGACTTGGCATGGCACTGGCTGAGGGGGACTTCGGGCACGTGCCGCATGTCATGTGAATGGCTCAATAGGAATGTTCTGCGCTGCCTCAGAGTCCCGCGCAGGGGCAAAATTATTTCTTTACACCCACTCTACAAAAGAGTTGAGTCTCCAAAAACTCTCACATGGATGCCTGGCGCTGAGTGTTCCCAGACTCCCAGTCTTCCCATTGGCACAGACTCCTGCACTTGTCCACTCCCACTCCCCAAGCTTCCACTTTAATTCTCCAACATCGCGCAAAGTCCCACGGTCTTGCACCACTAAACTTCCGCTTCAAATCTCGGGATTCAGCCTGTACTCCTCCCATCCCCAACCCCCCCTCCGCAGCGCGATTCTACGTTGTAACAGTCTCTTTCAGAATGATAATGTTGATAAAGTGTTAGGTTACAAGAGCTCCACTGAGGAGAATAGGCCCAACTGATAGAAAGTCAATGTCTTGCATGACCAATATCAGGGACACCGGCCTCAGGATTCCATGACGAGACTCTCACTTAATTCAGACGGGGGACTGGGTCAAGGAATTCAGTCTGCTAGTAAAAGATCATTAGTTTCTCCAGAAACATTCTGAGTGCTGGAAGGTGCAAAGAGAATGCTGATCCATCTCGGTCCCAGATGATGAAGCTTGTCAGAGCTTTTACTTCACTGGTTTTACACATAAAACACACTTTGGCTGATCCTATTTGACTCCTCACAGCTGGGATTGAAGGCTATCGCGATCATCACTGACACTTACAGTATGATTTTATTAAGCATGAGGATGTTTCAGAAAGGCATTAGAGGAATTATTCCTTTCAACTCATTTCAGCAAGCTGGGTGTTATTAAATATAATCCTATTTAACGGAGAAGGTTCACTCTCTTTTTCATTTTTCCTTTGATTGTCATCATGCATGATCCCTATGTTACCACCACATTTTACAAACTGTATGTGGAGCTGGGACTCGGCAGACCCTTTTTCACAACACTTCAACGCTGCATCGTGATGAGCTGACCATAGGGGGGCTAGTTTATATATGTGGTTAATTGTGCAAGTGCTCACAGATCCAGGCGATGTCTGCACAACAGAACGTGCACCCTGAATAACCCACAATTCTTCACAAATTCAACACCTTTGCTAATACTACACACTATATCTACTACACTATAATACTACACTATCACAGGTTAGGATATTGCCGTGGATTTGAAAAAGATACACAGCCTTCAGGTATGTTACTACCTAATGTAGATAAAGTAATTAAGCAGATATAATTAACAACTCCATCACACTCCATACATTAAAAAGCAACAGAACCAAGGCTGTCTGGACTTTAATCACACAAATCACTTCTGTCAGCACAGCTTTCTAGTGGGAATTTATTATATTTGCTATTTTCTAACCAGGTTGTAAGTACCCTGTTTTTAATGTTACAAGGGAAGATTTCCTGTAAAAAATGAAGCAAATGTTTTAAATTAGATTGTGAGGTTCTTCTTCTTCAGTAACAACAGAAAAAAAGAGTTCCGTAAACTGCCCGTTTTTAAAGCTACTAAACTTCTGACAGATTCAGCCTCCCACAAGACTCAGCTTAGCCTCTGTCACCTGCCTATAGCAAAAATAAAACACAGAAATTGGTAAGGGCAAGGTGAGAAAGATGGTTGTCATTTGGTTGTCAGCTGCACATTATATGTCCTATGGAGACACCTGGAGATACCAAATTGGGCATTAGAACACTTCTGCCCTGCATGGCTGTTGTTTGGTACTTATATACAGTAAAACACAAATTCTCGCTTTGCTCTCCACTAAAGTTTTGTGGTTCAGTAATCACTACATACATCATTTTATAAGCTGTGCTCCCTCTCTGTCAGGTAATGTTGTATTTATGTGAGTCCTCTAGGATAAAGGTATCAACCAGATATATTACTGATACAGATAATCCAGAGGTTGGTACTATCCACAGAATTTGCTTTTGAGATTCAGAATTAGATTCGAACATAATGAATTTCAGCCCAACATGAGAATATAAGAAAGGTTAAGAAATGAGTGGAAGCCATTCAACCCATCTAGCCTGTGTGGTGGTTCATTGACGTGTGCTTTACTCTTCCCAATGTGTTCTCTGTTTCTTTATTTTTCTGAGGTAAAACTGAGATTTTGAGGCTTAATTTTGTTGACTTTTGGGACTCTTGAAGTGTCAGCCTTGTATAACTATTAGCTTACTGACGAGAACTCTGCAGGCCATTTTAATTCTGCTTAGGAATCATCATTGTAGCATCACAACATTATGAAATCCTCTGATCTGAGTTTACATTTTTGGCTATATATATGGTTCTGTAATGAAACAAGTAAAGGTTTATTCCACACTGAAAAGAGGAAAAAAGAAACACAACAGTTTGGCTATGGAGCCTTCTTTGGGTGTCTTCCCAAACTACTTGAACTACTACATGGTCCTGTAGGTGTTGTTCATTGCATCTCCGTAATGACTGGAAGGGAACAATTCTGGGTCAATGTAAGCACATTCAGTTTGTAAAATGGGGACAAATAAACTTGAAGGGGTAAACAATGTTTGTTCATATTACCTGGGTGTAATAAGGTACTCAACTTATCATTTTGTTTATATTGTTTGATGTATAATTTTATTTAATAGATTGGATTGATAAATTGATTTGATGTGAAGGACTGAAAGAACAATAAAAGTTGCCTCAGACACATTCCAGGATGAAATTAGATCTATGTCTCACACTTACTTAATGAACCAGCACAAAGTGACAAAGCAGCAGGCATCTCAATATGTTCGCAATTGTGTGTTCATGGAAACTGCTTTAAAATATAGTGAGCTGAGTGCTGGAGTTGCGTACTGCTGTTTGGCAACAACTATAGAATGAAATGTTGGAAATAACCCAGTAACATGAGTTTATCATTTCCCGCATTTTTATTTTACAGAATGGATATGTATTTTTATATTGAGTACATGTACATTCCAACATATAAAATTAATTGTTGCTGTCATTTGGCTTTATTTCACCATGATCCTGCAATCATGACTGTAGTATGTCTCATGAGCCAAAGGGATTTAAAACTTTAATTCAGTGGTTGAAAATTGTCGGCTTCTTGAGCGCTTGCTAGCAACCTGACTGGCTTTATCATTGTTGAAGTCGGAGGATGTTCCCATAGACCCTACAAAGAGATGGCTTCTTAAGTTTAACCTTCACATGCTACTTCCCCTGCGTGGAAATGATAAAGTAAGAACTCGAGGTTGTTTCTTCATGTTCTTTCTGGCATGAGAAAATCTGCTGTCGAATTCTAGGAGGGTGTGCGAAGTGTCACCGCTTCTCCTGAGCCCACTGAGGACAGAGAGCAGCCGGAGACTTTATTAAGAGCTTTCACACCTCTGGTCCCCCTCTCCAGCTCGCGGGCACAGGCTGCTGCACGCTGCGTGGTGCTGTGCGTGGATGAGCCCCTGGGGAAGCTGTCCTCATGCAGGGCACACAGCGAAGAGCAGAACAGGTGCAAAAGAAAAATGTCAGTTTTGAAGGAACCGCAGTAAAAATAAACCAAACTGTCTGATCACTGTTTTAGCTGATTTGTGCTTTCAGCAAACGATTAAATAACTTACTTTTGATTGATCATGTGATTTATTTTGTTCTCCTAACCCTTATAGTCCCATTGGCAAAAAAAAATGTTTTATTTTTTTACATTTCCGCATGGAATCCACCTTTATGCATTCCTTTGCAACTCCCACACTACCCTCTACATGAGCACTGTTTATATATTACTAAGTCATTCATCATCTGGCTTATTTCAGGTTAGAGCTAGGGTTTTAATATGCTCTGGATTGGCAACTAGCCAATTAGAACCAATTAACAAATTAAAAAAAACACCAGTTAACCTCATCTTTGATATGTGGTAGGAAATTGGAGATAGAGAATGCAAACATGTAAATCACAGACAAACGTTTCCAGCATATATAGTATTATTATCAATTTATTTGACTAATCCAAAGCATGTTACACATGCCACCATTTCCGCAGCTGGGCAGTCTGCAGTGAAGTTTCTTGCGCAGGGGTACAGTAGCTCTTCTCCACCTGGGTTTTGAACCTGCATCCCTTCAGTCCAGGGCCCTAACCGCTACTTTGCACTTTGTGAGGTCTGTTTTCCTTGACAGCAGCTATACAAGGTGAGGTGTGCTTAGCTGATTCATTTAGTTTATATTCTACTGCCATCTGGTGATTAAGCTATGTCATGCGGAGGCACTGCAGCAGAGCCAGTTGCAAATGTGGTTTAATTCCTGGATGGAGCTAACATCCATCCTTGAAACTGTTTCAGTTCAATTCAAGCTTTATTGTCGCATTGGGGGAGATTTGATTTACAGCACACTCCCAACATAATACAAAAACTAGGTGCGTGCCTGAGATCTTTTTTAAGACTACAAAAATGTAGTTACATTTTACTGTTACTACATTACCACAACTAGACTCCAACATAGCTTCTTCCCCAGAGCTGTCAAGTTGGTGACGCCCCCACTCCCTTCCACCTTATTATGATCTCTCCTAACATCCTCCTGTACCCACAACCACTGTACTCCTACACCACCACACACACATGTAAGCCAAAATTGTACTGTCCCCTCGATAGCCCAGTAAAATTATAACAGGGATAATAATATTTAATATTTATTAACTAACCATACTACTTTTAACCATACTATTTTTTTGCACTGTTCCAATAATTACCTTGCACTGATTTTGTCCTGTTAAATTTTCTGTTTGCGGAATTTTGCATAGTTTTGATTACTTGATTACATGTTATTTATGTTATGTTATTACATGTTACTGTTATTGCTATTGTGTAACTGTCTACTGTCTTATCTTCTGTCCTATTTATATACTGCACCTGAGTGACTAATGAGAAACACTTTTCATTATACTATGCACCTGTGTAAGTTTAATGACAATAAAGTTGAATTGAATTGAATTGAATTAATTTGCCTAAATTAGCCTGTGTGCATGGAAACCAAAGTTCTTCCCCCTCAATTTATTTGATGACCTGTTTGTACAAATGGAGGATTTTCCGTGGATTGAAAAAATAGTAAGTTGAATAGTATCAACGGAGTGTGCCGCATCTGAGAAAAAATAACGAAGGATGGATGGTGTGAATTCCTGTGAGAAATCGGCGTGCATTATGTCTGACGCAAAGCATGGTGGGAATACACAGAATGACAAAAACTATAGAAGTTATTCTCTGTAGAAGGTGACAAAGAAATGAAATTCTGGCACCTGTATCTAACAGCTATTAATTGTGCTTAGAAAGGACCCCAGGAACCTGTCATGAAATTTTCATTGCACAAAATTCAGAACTTTCCTCACACAGGCTGCTTTGTCATTTATATAACAGTGCAAATGAAACAGTGTCTTTTATAGCACAACATTTATATGTGTCTATCTTTGAATCCTTAATACACCATTACACATTCCGACTGGAATACCTGTTTTCCTGTGCTTTGGACAGAATTGTCGTGGCTGCCTGTACTTTATTTAGGTATTGCCAGTTGTAGAAAAAAAGCATTTTTTTCTACATTTATCACGGATTTCAGTCCTACAATTTCACAATCTGACAAAGATTTGATTATGTGATGGCTGGTTTATTTACAGCAGTTATATAACCAAGCATACTGTATTCTGAAGATGTAGTTAATAACAATGTAGGGTACATTGTGAGTGAATATGTCGTTAATAACAATCGCAAGTGTGAATGTTTAAACTAAAAGCGTAATAATAACTTATACATGCCTTTCATTAAACTGGAATCTAATTCAATTGTAAAGGAAGTGAGCAGCTGAAAAACATATATTAAAAACTCTAAATATACCATGAGATCCTTGCAGTATTTACCAAGATTTTTCAATGCAATTTCATTTTCTTCAGAACTCCCCGTTAATATATTGTTATAATTGCTTCCATTTCCAGGCCTGCTATTGGATATTTCGCTGGCATCATAAATTACGTCGCAGTCGCAGTTCCCTGCGTCTTCCCCGGGTTTCAACCGGGTAAGGGAAGAGTCATTCAAGTTTCCACGATGCAGCCGCGTTACCGTAAAACCTAAAAAGCGAACGCAACAAAACAAAATGTTGTTTTATTAGTAAAAAAATAAATAAAGTGTTTGCGAATTGTGGTTTCTTATACCAGTGTTAAATTAAAGTACAGAGGTCCTTGCACCCAGACGCTGATATATATAGATTTTTAATTTACTGACAAGCGGTATATATGGAGTTCTCTCAAAACGTTAATTTTGCGAACGGTTTTTGAGGGCTATATGGTAAAGGACCCGTCTGATGTTGCCGAGAGAGCTATGTGATTGGCTGGTGGGTTGATCCTGGATCGGCTCCGCCTCTGTGTCTAGGTGGGAGTCAGTGTGGCCGGGTTTGTACCGTGACCTGTCACTATTGTCTTGAACAGGACCGGGAGGATTCATCAAGATATCGGTAAGTACTGTACATAAACATATGTATTACATAACATGGACTGTTTACACGTCTAGTTTTAGGGAAGGTGGCGCTTGTGGAGTGCGAGGCTGAATAGATGTAAGAGTTAGTTACAGTAGTATGTTTTTTTTTGTATTTTTTTCCTTTGTTAATGGCTTTACCTCCGCTAGCTGAGGTATAGTAGACCGCTATGAATTTTGGGACAAAATTTAAGATCTCTTGTTTAAAAGTGTTGATTGAGACGACGAGGAGGATGATGTGGTGTCTCATTTCAGGCCACTGAACGTCACAGGTCAGGAATGTCGAAGGTTTTTCCTCCAGAAAGCGCCTTCTCAGTTAAAACAAAGGGTCTCTATCTCCTGCACGGTGGCAACTACCCTTGCTTTCCTGAATCTTCACACGCTTCATGAAACTGCGGTTTAAATCCGATAAAAAATGATAAATCCGATTTATTTCGGTTTAAAGCTCTTCTCTTTCAGTGCTTCAGTGAAAAGGGGTTCAAACGATGAGCGTATTTAAGGGGCGAAAATAGTGTGCACCGCACTGTCATTTCGTTGTTCATTGGCATTTCTTTATTGGAAATGCCGAGAAACCAAGGGTTAGCACTTTCGTTTCCTCCTCATTGATTACAGACTTCAGAGTCCGGTTGTAAAACAGAAATTACCCAGTTTGTAAGTGTGTGTGAACTTGGCGAGTTCATGCGCCCAGCAACAGATGTCATGTTTGTATGTATAATGAAATTAACCATGAAGTCCTCTGGAACATGCAGCATTAACGCTTTCTGAACTTTATAGGTTTGAGTTTTTACGTGTTTAGCTGTCCTTTAAAGCCCTCTTTCTGCGTCTCTCCCAGTACTGTATTTCTCCAATGATATCCAATTTAAGACCGCTGGCCCAGAAACGAAAGGTTAGTCTCAGGAGTCAATATTTATAAATAGCACTTCCCTGAACACAACGTTAGCTGCTCTATTTATACCCACAGGATTTTTGTATGCACATTTTTAAAAAAACATATCGAAGTTGGGGTTCATTTTCTCTGAATCCACTACAGTTCGATTCCTTCCACATTCCAGTGCCCTCAGTTCAGGACCAGTTTCAGACAATTCCTGATTCCTGGTGAGCTTTACAGGATTCAGACAGCTGCGTTAGAAGCACAGTGTGTGGCAGTACTCCACTCGGGCTGGGATGCTAGCACATCGGAGGTCCTGGAGAGGCCACAGGCAGGTCTTGTGCATCACCATTAAATTACCAGTTTCTAAAGACATGAAACATCCATTGTGATCAACTAAACAAGAGTTTTCCTAAATTAAGTAATTTAGAGATGGTTTAGGAATGATAACCAAGCCCTTCACCTCTCAGGGACCAGATTTGTGTTAAATGAACAGATTGCTTGCTTGGTTAATCAATATTGATTACCGATATTAAGAAACAGGGGACCTGTTGGAGACCTGTTTTTAAAGATACCATTTAACCTAGGCAGCATGTGTTTGGAAGGTGGAAGCCCACTGGACCCCTCAGACACAAACCACACAAACTTGAGGAGAACACGCAAACTCCACACAGTAGACATGCCACAGTCGAACCCTGGTGCTGTGAGGCTGTGGCTCCGTATCCCACTAGTGCCTTCTGTTCTCAGTTAGAAATACACCTCCTTGTAGTTTCCTTGTTCCTCTGGTTGGTGTTTTACTGTTCTTTCTGAAGAAGTCGTCTGGATGAATGTTGTTGATGATTTTGAATACTAGTCTCCAGTCCCCTTGCTCAGGACTGAAAAGGTTTACTTCCCCCAGCCTGTAAAATTCTGTGTGAGTGTAACTAAATGAACCTCTACGGAAGGAAAAACAGCTCATTGTTGCCCCATCTGCCTCTTTTCACTGTAAACCAATTGCGAATTAAGAATAGTTTATTCGGAATTAAAGGTCAGCTCGAGAAGAGATTGAGGAGAGACTGTTTACAGCTCTGTATTCTGAAGCTGTTGTAAACAATACGGTATTCTTGAAACTCGGGACTTAGTGAAGCAAGAAGCAAACCAAAACTCTAGACAAGCAGGCAGATCAGTTAAAGGCAGCATTTAGCCCAGGTGATTTGAGCTGCATTGGAACAGAACCAGCAGGCACTTTGATTCTCTGTTCTCCAGGTCTGGGATGTGGAATCGGTGGTGTAGCTGTCAGTTTATTGATGCAGTAACTCCATTAGCGAGCTGCTGCTGTATTGCTTGCTGGCTGTGATTGCCTCCTACTCACCATCAAATCCCCTGAGGTACAGGTGCATTTACTGCATTACAGAATAATCCCAGTGTCTTTAAGATCGTGTCCTTATGTGACCCTAAGTGGTCCACGGCCGAAACGTTGTGTTCTCTTTCTTCTTTTTTTCAGCATGGAATAAACCTATTACTTGTTCCTCTTCTGTCTTCTTTGGAATCTAAAAATTTGCGGGCTAATGGTGTCACTACTGCTTGATTGCTCCTCTTCTGCTGTCAGCGCAGGAGTGTAGGTGCCTGTGGTTGGTTTTAGGGGTGTAATGTGTTTAGCAAGCACTGTATGTCCTAAGGGTGTGTGGTCATGTGGGGCATTAGCAATAAACTTAGCAATTGGCTTTGTTGCTCAAATCAAGGAGTGTATCGTACAGGTATTGAAGAGACGCCAAGTGCAGATTTGAGAAAGGTGTGTAGGAGTTTGTTATTGCAGCTACTGTGGGTGCAGTGAGTTGGAGGAGGCAGGTTAAATGTGGGCCTGAATGGTTATACTCAGCTTTTCTATGAAGTCATCACTTCATAAAGGCTCTTTGAAATGCATACTATAAAGATAAAACCCTTTTTAGAAATGGTGTTGTAAAGGTCAGGGGTGGGAGGTCCACTGACAGGCTCCTAATCATCACTTGGGGTGTTTCAGCGAGGTATATCAATGATCACTAACTTCTGCTGTTTTAATTTGCTCCAAAATGTTCTTTTGTTGTGACTAAACAAAAAGCCCTAATGCTGCACTATTAAAACAAGACAATTAAAATAAGATCACAGGAATTTGTCTTTTCGCACACCCCAACTTGCTCCATGAGACACATATAAACACATAGACAGGGAGAGAAGCTTGATGTCAGAGCACAGGGTCAGCCATTTATATGGTGCCCCTGGAGCAGTTGAGGTTAAGGGCCTTGCTCAATGGTACAAGGGAGTAGGATTCCTCTGCCAGCCATGGGATTCAAACCAGATACCTTCCAGACACAGGCACAGATCTTTAGCCACAGAGCCACTGCACATCCCCACCAATTACTCAACCCCCCCTCGCCAGGATAGGGTAATTTTTTATCTCTGTGTAGAATTCAGAGAGAGAAATATAAGGAGAGAATTTTTTGCACAATCGATTATGGAACCTATTTGCGGACAAGGAGTGCTGAGCTCTAATGTCATTTTGACGGTTGTGTTCCGACAAGAAAGCTCCAACAGTGGCCCTAATAATCTAATATTGACAGAAAAGTTCCATCGGAGTAAAACAGAGCAGTGGCTGCGTCCCTGGGCTGTTACGGAGGAGTTCGTGCAGAATATGGATCAAAACCTGGATCTGCCCACCAGGTGGAACACACGGTATCTGATGGTTCACAGTACCTGAGATTTCCTTCTTCCCACATGGCAATCCAGTGTCATGCAGCTGTAAAGCCTTTTTCAGGGGGTCAGGCTTTTGTATTTGGTCCGCTGAGGCTCTAACATCTGAGTTATCTCGGGATGAGAGCTAGCTGCTAGTCTAAGAGACTTAAACTGAGATTTAATCTAAGCTCCCTCACAAATCCCTGTTATAATGACAGACTCCAGATGTCGTTTTGCACATCAGTGTACAATTAAGGAACCTACAATTACTTCTGTATTTTATCATGTCCTTATGTCCAACGTGGGGTGAAGAACCTTCCTTTAACAAACCTAGCCAGTTCCTTTTCTTTATTATTTCATTTTCTTTATTGGGAGCTGCTTCAGCTCTCTTAATTACTGTTTTGTAAAAGGTCTGTTCTGCGTCTGGGAGCACAGTGTTGGGTTTATGTGCATCATATTGAAAGCAGAATTGTTCTTGTTGTGAAACCAGTGGACTGAATAGCAAGACTCGAGCAGCTAAATTGTGCAATGTGTTGGGTGAATTCATCATGCCATGTGACATTTAGTGTTTGCTGTATAAGCATCTTTTGTGTTTGTGTAAATCATATGCTAGAAAGTGTTTTTCTTTATAACACCCTTCTGCTATACACAGGTCAAAGTATTGCTGTCTGTATTCACTGTGGTTAATTCAACTGCAATCAGCACTGTATAGTGTTAATGGTTATAGCATGGGGAAAGAGCTAAAGTGAATGGAAAGGGTGATGTTTTCAGAAAGCAGTGTGCGTACTGGTGCATGTTGCACCACAGCATAGAGCTTTCATGCCCAGAAAAATGGAAATTGCATGATTTGGCTTAGAAAAATCATTGATTTAATCTCAATAATCTTTTTGAAGTTGTGTTAGCAGAGATATTTCTCTTGCTCAGGATGCTGAAGAACCCCAGGAGTCGGGTGGAGTGTCAGGAGACCCTTGGCTGACTATCTTGTGCTGGAAACCCTTTTTCTGTCCAAATTTGTATGAGCTCCAGCAGGGAAGTGGGTTCCCGTTCCCGGCTTCCCCATTGTGTTTTTTTTTTTCGGCGTTTTTTTGGGCGGGTTTTTTTTTTTTTTTTAGGAGGTTTTTAACGTCTTTTGCGAGAGATGTCTCATGCAGGGCAAATTCAAAGAAAATGACTCCCTATCCCCACCATCTGCTGAAGTACATTAATACTGTGTGTCAGTGCCTTGATCTTTTTCATGCTCTACATTCAGATGAGACCCCTGATGAGTGTGTAAGGGCTTCGTTCAGTCTGTGTTAGTGGGGTGTTCATGGAGGGAGAGAGTGTTCTCAGGCTGCTGGCAGCATCTTGGCCATTGATTGACGGTAGTCTTGTGGGATCAGTTTTGAGAAACAGTTATGTAAGAATTGCGTATTGTTTAAAACAGTGTTGAAGAAGCTGTTTTTGCCTTTCTCTTAAACAAGTCCCACGTAAGCTGTCAGTATGTTACCATGACTGTACCAGCCCCCCTTTGCATTGACTGTCTTTACCTGTCACTGCCCTGTCGTGAACTAAAAAAAATACATAACTTATTTGTCCAAAGCACACAGACATGACTCATAAATGCAGATCTATCTTGGCATTGTTTACTTTTTCTTGAGGTGCGGCGCAAAACAACTTCTTTTTAAGACAAGCGCCCGCAGTCTCCTTATCGTCGTGAGACCTGTGAAGCCTGCTAGGGCAAGCCCTCTCCAGCGGGGGCGCTGCGGTGATGCTGCCCCTCTCCTGTCCCGGCAGGCAGACTCCCCCGAGCGATGCTGTCCAGGCTGCGGCTGGCCGCCAGGCCCTGCGTGTGCGCGAGCCGGGCCGTCCACACCAAGGAGAAAGGGAAGCCCCTCATGCTCAACCCCAGGACTAACAAGGTGCGTGCTCGCTGGCGCGGCGAAGAGCTGCCCACTCTCCACACCTCTCTCCGCGCACAGTGATTTGTCAATTTCGGTCTGCCCACAGAAAAAAACGAAATCCTGTGTTTTGTTGGCATCATTTGGATGCACAACTATACTCGTAGCTTAAAGGCATTGATCGGCATCAACAGGTTAATGCCAGAACACTATAGCTTCTGAAGATGCTAGTGAACTTGGTTTACTTGATTTCGACCTCAGTCAATCGGCCCTTGTCACCACTTCCAGCAGTGGTGACACTTAAACTTTTCTGTGAACAGACCAGAAAGAAACCATGATGCAGACTTTTTTTGCCGTTTAGTACAGCCTAGTCTGATTGCTTCCATGTGGTGCTGGATCTGGTTCTCTTAACAGTATTAGCAGTAATGGAAAGGACTACCACTAGAGAGTCTTTCCCATCAAAGCATACCAGAGATTCCTCTTAAAGTCACCCTCTATTGGTTGGGAAATACTGTATTCCAGCAGAGAAACTACGACCCATCCAAAAGTTAAAGAAACAGGTCTGCTGTTTTCTTTGATCAGCTCCAACATGTGAAAACGTAGGTCTAAGTTGAAACCATATGGAAAAAACTGTCGTGTCCATACAAACTCGTACACTTGTGTACTTGTTCGCAGTGGATTTTTGCTGTAACATGACAAATCCAAAATTAGTTTTGGTAAGTAATTTGGATTACTTGTATACAATGTCTGCAAATATTCCGGAATTTACATATTTCCTATTGTTTGTAATCTATTGTACTGAATTTCAGTGCTACAGAATACTTGTAAATAACATGTAGGGACTTTTTTCATTTTTAAAAAATGGTGATTTATCTGGCATGTTGAAAAATATGTAGGCGAGCTTGATATTTTTATTTTGTGTAAATAAACATTCTCTTACAGCTTGATTTTATGTAACATTTTGTAATGTTTAGTGGGAAATTCACACAAGGAACTTGTAGTGTTGTTCATCTCGCCTGAAACACAATAACCGGACTAACCTGGAAAACTGTATAGATTACCATTTTGTGTTCCGGCAGCTGCTGACAGAGCTCTTATCTCTGTGTTGGTGATGAGTCATTGTGTGAAACTGTACTGTATTTAGCTTGTGTTATCTCTTCCTGATAACGGTTGCAGTGGTAACATGTGACTCACGCCAGTCCCCTCCGCAGTTCGAACTGTTCTATCCAAAGATTCTAAGTGGGCAGTTTAGTGAGCGTTATCACACACAAAAGCACTTCTAAGCCAGTCAGTTTGGGTACAGTCTACTGATTAAACATCATTATTAGCATTTCTCCTCTTGTGTGTGGACACTGTAGGCAGAGCTATTTGGACACAGTCATCTCTAAACCACAAATGCAAAATGAGATCATACTTGGTGTGTTGAGTTTGATCTGTTCTTCCTTCCTTCCTCCTTCCTCCCACTCTCCACTCTCTAGTCTAGCTCTAGGTCATGCTAGGTCATGCACTATCTGAGGTATCGGGCAGTTGTGTGATTTGAAATAATTATCCTGCTCCTGTTCGTACAGGGCTGCCCCCAGGACCAGTGTTATTCTGGAGCAAAGCAATCAATTAATAATGAGTCATGTTTTAATTTCCATCCGGAATTCGGACGTTTTTCATTTTTACTAATTGAAATTAGCTCTGTGGAGCATGATCAAGGAAAAGCGATGGCACAGGATATCAGTCCTGATCCAGTAATTTGTGGTAGTGTCAATTAGGTTTCATGGTATAGTTCCCAGTAGATCCTTTTGAAAGAAGTGAAACAAGTGGAGCAGGGTCATTTCTGCTTTTTATTCGACATTAAGTAAAAGCCATGTCTGGTTAAGAGAGTTTGAAAGCCCTAGTGACAAGGTACACCCTCGGCTACTGTGATACGTTTGTATCCACAGCTACCTGGGTGGGGGGACAAAAGCTATCAGGAAAGCCCCCAAGTGTCACCAAAAAAATTAGAAGGCCTTAGCGCCAGAAATTGAAAAATGAAATGTTTTTTAAGGAGACTGGAGTGTGAACGTTTAGGACTTGTTTGTTTTGTATGGGATTTAGCCACGGGAACAAGGTGTGGGACCTGAGCATTATCTGGCCTGTATTTTCTCCTTCAGTCTACAAGAGAACAGTTTTCAGCAGAGAGCAGGAGGCACAGCTTTCACCTGTCTGCTGCAGTTTCTGCTGGGGTGGGCGCTGGTTTTTGCTGCTTGTTGAAGTGTGGTCTGTTTTGCAGGGAATGGCGTTCACGTTGCAAGAGAGGCAGATCCTGGGCCTGCAGGGCCTTCTCCCTCCCAAGATCGAAACCCAGGACATCCAGGCAATGCGCTTCAAGAGGAACCTGGAGAAAATGACGGATCCCTTAGAGAAGTGAGCCCGAGCTGTGATTCAAAGAAACCATAACATCTGAACACTTTTACCCCAGTCCAGCTGCACTTTGGACTAGAACTATAGAGCTTTCTGGTCTGACATGTGTACTCGTCCTGAATGTCATGCCCACTGGACCCATGATATACCCATGATATTATAATCAAAGTATCTCAGTTCTTAAAAAACCTTTCTGCAAATACGTTGATCTGAATTTTATTTGATTTGTTGCCCTTCACAGCAAATTGGCACAGAGCATTTTCACAAAATAAGCAAAGCCCAGATCCGAGTCATACTGGCTGATTGGACCAGAGCTCACCCTGGTTTCTATAGAGTTAAGTGGACTAGAGAGCACATGACTCCCCTCTGGATGGGAGGCTGGTCCAACTTGGGGATCACCCCCAAGCAATACTGGTCCCACTAGTAACAGGGGTAAAGGATCTCTTTTCAACATACAACAGGTCCACAGTGGGGACTTGAACCCACATGCCGCCACAAGGCCAGTGAAACAATTCACATCAGAAACCTGAACAACTACACTACACCACCACCCTTTCATAAAATATCAGCAATATTAAATAATCTAAGATGATAACTTAAGCGTTCTATTAACAGTGCAGTTTAGTTTTAAGGTTTATGTAAAGTAGGAAAATATCAATCATATCAATAGTTAATGAAATCTAGAGTTTAGAGAAAAAATGTTATGTCATATCATAGCCTTGTTTTGCTGCCTCAGTTGGTTTTATTGTTGTTCATGTCTGTTTTTAGTCTTTAGTTTAAAATTAAGATCACCTATAAGGCAGAGCTGTGCAGGTAATAGCTTGAGCCCAGTTGTGTGTGTGTTTGTGCACAGATACATCTACGTGATGGGGATCCAGGAGAGGAACGAGAGGCTGTTCTACCGCATCCTGCAGGAGGAGATTGAGAAGCTCATGCCTATAGTCTACACCCCCACTGTAGGCCTGGCGTGTTCACAGTACGGGCACATCTTCCGCAGACCCAAGTAAGACACTGCTGCCCACCATTTATACTCTTGTAAATATGCATGTACTATATGAGTCTAATGTTTCTTTGTGTTTTTGCAAAATGTATAGTCTTTTGATGAAGAATGATTTGCTTTATAAACTGTGACCATGTACAGATAGACTGATATTTACTGCTGGAATTATATTTGTCAGCAGATCTCCAGCACGAGGACTGGGGGCTTAGCCAGGTTATTAGGAGGAGGGTGTACGAGATGAACTGGCAGAGAGAATCCCCAAGTGGCAATTTGTTGTACAGCAACAGACAATATGGGTAAACATGGGCAAGAGAATCAACTGTTGAGCAAGCTTATAGCTACAGGTATGAGTGAGAACTTGAACCTGTTTGTTTTTAAATTGGGAATTCTGCATTCTGAGGGGAGTAGTTGGAAGTCATCAAACATTTCCATCTGGGATGGAAAATTCCTATTTGTAAGAATCGGAACTGATAGACATGGGGTAGATTAGAAATATCAGCACCAATGACTTTCTGACAGTCTGACAATACTCCACAGATTCAGATTCCCAAATGCAGCAGATCAGGGAAAAAAACAGAATCTGTTGCTGTTTTTTGAAACTAGAATCATTTTGCCTCAAAATGTGCAGTCTAGAATAATCCCTAATATGTATATTTACCAGCCATGTCCAACGATTATCTTCTGATAGTCAACCTTTGAGTGGGAGTCTAGGGGTTCTTTCTGAAAATAATTGCCATGTCTTTTGTTTTAAAGACATTCAACTCCAAATAGTTTACTACACTCCAAGTGGCAAACTCCTCTACAACTGTTCCTTGGCCCCACTCGTCTGTTTGCAGCAGACTAACAGTAACAGAGTTGTCTGTAAATGTAATTATGTCTTTTGATTGGTGGTAATTTAGTCATTTGTATACAGGATGAAAAGTAAGGGAGACAATACAGTGGTTCCTTGGGGGAACCAGTTGAAGAATCCACTTGTTAGGCAAAGCATTATTAATTCTTACCTTTTAGGTTCTGTCTGTAAGGAAATCTGTAACCCAGCTGACAAGATTAAGATAAAAACTTTAATTAGACAATAGCTTGGTTGCCAGTAATTGCAATTGAATAAATTCAAATGCTGAAGAGAAATCTAGAAATTCTAAAAATGACAACTTTTCACATCTGTTCAAAAGACTGAGGCAGGAGTGATCACTGTCACCTGTCTTTCCATTACAGATAAAGGACGAACAACCAGTACTCCAATCAACAAATGACTGATTATTGTTCAGAATAATTAATTGATTTTTTGTTTTTAATTATCAAACTGAATCAGGTCACAGTGATGTCAAAGGGGTGTCACATCATTAGAAACTGAAAAACTAAAGCCCATGTTATTATATATATAATTTCATTAACTGGTCTTTTTAAATGTTTGACAGGGGCTTGTTTATTTCCATATTGGACAGAGGCCATATCAAGTCTGTCATGGACAACTGGCCAGAGCCTGATGTAAAGGTAAGGTGGACTAAATCTACACAGCAAATCGTTAACTGTTCACCTGTTACACACTCCAGATACAAGCTGGAGCGGGGTGTCCAGGGGTTCCCCTGTATGATCCAGCTGGAACAGGGTGTCCCATTCCACACTGTTGTGTGTACAAACTTTGGACCTCTCCTGTGAGCGCGTGACTCCCGCTGTGTCTCGCCCGTGTCTGTTGTGCCAGGCGGTGGTGGTGACTGACGGAGAACGGATTCTGGGTCTCGGGGACCTGGGGGTATACGGGATGGGCATCCCGGTAGGGAAGCTGTGCCTGTACACGGCCTGTGCTGGCATCAAACCCGAGAAGTGCCTTCCAGTCTGCATCGATGTGGGCACCGACAATCCCGTGAGTTTCCCTGAATGGCAGCGGAGATGGGGTACCAGGCCACACAGTCTGTAACCCCCGATACAGGCTTTTGTCAAGGAACACACCACACCCTCCACAACTCAGTTCATTTACACAAAGCAGACAAACCTAGTCCTGGAGAGCTCAAGTCCAGTCAAACCTATAGACTTCCAGCCATCCTTTAATCCTGCTTATTAATTATTTAGAAAATCACATCTAATTTACTGATCAATTATGCAAGTAATTCGTTCATTTAAAAGAACTGTTGTCCTGAAGAAAGGAAGGGTAGGGTGAGCTGAGCTGTCCTCACAGCAGCTCTGCACGGCTGACTGAATTACTGGGCTCCAAACCAGGATGTGAATTTTTCTTGGGCTCTCATTGAAGGTGCTCCATCACCTTGCATTGCCAGCACTGTCCAAGCTGAAGAAGATAATGCAGAGGGTGGCCTGAATCTTTTAAACTAGGATGTTTTTCTTTTCTTTGTTGTTACTGCAGACACTGTTGAAGGATCCCTTTTACATGGGCCTGTACCAGAAACGGGACCGCTCTCAGCTCTACGACGACCTCATCGACGAGTTCATGGAGGCAGTGGTGAATAAGTAAGAACCTAACGCTTCTCTCTGCAGCAGCACTGACCTGTTGGCAGTGACATGTGAGATCTTAAGATGACAAATTCCTTCCTGCAGCTCGCAAAAGAGCATTACAACCTCGTATCGTGAATCCTGAATGGCTTTAATTGCAGGGTTACAGGTCTGTCATGTCAGCAGGTTGCTTTGAAGTTAATACATTCTAATTACACTAATACTTCAGTATAAGTATGTGCTGTTTTTATGTAATCTGCACTGCAAGACAATCATTTTGCCTAACAGAGCGTGAAGGGATTTTCCTCCAGCAGTTAACTGCAGTTATGAAAGCTAATTTTTCAAATTAAGGATTTTTTATATTTCACATATGGTCTTCAGCTTTGCCCTCTGGTAAGACGTACGGTATCATATTGCAAAACTATGTGATATTATATCTTTATACAGGCTCGTTGGTCTTTCAACTCAACAGTTGCCTGGACAACTGTTTAATAATGCTATTCTTCAGGTATGGACAAAACACCCTCATTCAGTTTGAAGACTTTGGGAACCATAATGCATTCAGATTCCTGCGCAAGTACAGGGAGAAGTATTGCACCTTCAATGATGACATTCAAGGTGAGTTAAGTGATGAGCGAATGTACCCCTGAATGTGCAGTATGCAGGACCCAGTCAGGCATGGTTTCTCTGTATTAAGCAGTCATAATAAATGAGGAGTCCAAAGGGAGGAGTTCAGCAAGGCTTAAGCAGTGGTCTTTTGAAATAATGTCATCTGGAGCCCCGAATTTGTTTGGCAGTGCCTATCTGTCTGACCAGGATGAATCTGATATGAATGGAAAATAGTATAGTTACTGCACTTCAGACTGGCACGTCAACTTCCTGTCCTTTCTTGAGTCTAACACTGCTTTCAGAAATTTACAAGCACAGTATGTCAGCGCTCACTGCAAACTCTTCACTACAACCTCAAATGGTGGACATTTCGGTTTTAAATAAGCTGTGACTTGGCCATTTTGTGTAACGGTAACAAGGCAAAGGCAGCTTGTTGTAGATTTGAGTTTTTCCACTGCAAAACCAAGCAAAGAGTTTTTTATGTAAAAACATAAACAATAACTTAACAATACAAAAACAACTGAATAATGGCTTTCATAACAAGGGTATTAAATATAAGGTCTGCACAAAATTCCATGGTTTCAGTTGGAACTGACCTAAACTGACTGAAAGGCATATTACGAAGCATGTCTTGTGTGACTGAGAGGAGAGGTGTTTACCAAATATTTTTTTCCTTCGGATGTGGGCGAGTAGGAGTGTGTGCGATGTGAAAGGTTTTGCTTACAGCTGTGAACAAGCTGAGAAATGCTCCTGATCCAAAATCTAGCAGATTGTTACCACCACTGGACCCATGTACCGGTTTTAGAAGGTCTTCAGACCTAGAAAACCTGCTGGGTTCGGTCCCTCCGGGGCTGGAGTGGTGCACCTGTGCTGATGAGCGAAGGGAAGCTCTTAGGTCCAGTCCCTGATGATTTGCAGTGAGTGTTCATGCAGCTGTGTGAGATGTTTTTGGTGTCCCTGTCCTCTTGCAGGTACAGCCTCAGTGGCGCTGGCCGGACTGCTGGCAGCACAGCGGGTGATTGGGAAGCCCATCACTGAGCACCGAGTTCTTTTCCTGGGTGCAGGAGAGGTAAGGTCTTGTGACCCACCCTCCTGTCCATGGACTGTTCCTCTGTGTCCTTTTAATCAATGCAATTATTTTTTCTAGATTGTATTTTGTAACATTCTGGTCATAATGTAATCAGGCAGTTGCATACAGCAGTCGGTGATCACTATTAACATGCCACAACAGCGTTTTCTGCATTTGGAAACTGAGGGCTCAAGAGGGGTGCCCAGGGCTGCCAGCAGTCCTAACCTTCAGCTCAGCAGGGATATGAGTGAGCCCACTTCTAAGGGCCTTTAACTCATTGTCACTAATAGTGACAATTGTTCACCTGTATTCCTTCCCAATGCAGAGTAAAAAGTGTGGTCACCTGTCAGTGACAGAGGTAATCTTGGACCATTTAAATGAATGGATATTAGTAGTCCGAAAACCGAGTTTTGCGCACTTAAGAGAAATGAGTGATGACTTCTTCATTTTTAGAATTCTAAAAAGCATTTGTTCATTGATCTTTCATATTTGAGCTCTAGTTTTTTTTCTTGTGAGTAATTATACATAACCATATCATTTAGTGGCTCATGAGGAGTGTCACCATGTGGCCTTCTGGTCTTCATTGCAGCTAAGCGTTGCTTAATTAACTGTCTGTTGCTTAATTAAAAAGCATTAACATACTCTCCAGGTCTCGGCTCACTGACCTTTTTTAAGGCTGGCTGAAAAATGAGCAGGACTGTGGTTCTTTATGAGCACAGATGGGCACCCCAATGAGATGGAAAATGATAGGTAAGTGTTTGGACAAATCTGAGTCTGGAGTGGTTTCTGATCAGCTCTGTTTTTTCAGGCTGCTCTGGGAATCGCTAACCTGATTGTCATGGCCATGATGGAGGCAGGGGTGTCACAAGCAGAAGCCAGAAAGAAAATCTGGATGTTTGACAAATATGGCCTATTGGTGCAGGTGAGATACAGCAGAGGAGGTCTGGGAGGCTGAGCCCATCTGTTTGAAGATCTAGTGAAAAGGTGCAGATGATGTACAACTAGCATTAACTAGAAGTGGTTTATGCCTTCTCAGATCATGAGGGGGCCCTGTAAATTGTCTGGTTACTCATATCCCTTTGTAGGACCGGCCAGAAATAACGGACGGTAACCAGGAGGCCTTTGTACACCAGAGTCCTGGAGAAACAGTCAAGAGCTTTCTTGATGCTGTTAACGTCCTCAAACCTACGGCCATAATCGGTAAGGAGAACACCCTCAGCTCAGGTCGTTTCTTTCCACAGTGGGCAAGTGACTCAGTGTGTCCCAGAAGGAGTTAGGGATGCTGGGAAAATGATTCTTCTGTGCTCAGTTGCCCCAAGGCGTTGTGGTCATTTGATCATTGGAGGCTAAATCAGCTTATCCTATTATCTATTTCCTGTATGACCCCTACATGAGGTTTCCCAGGGAGCTGCCTTTTAAACCGCAGCTTTCTCTAGCATTGCGCTGGAGGACTGTCAATGGAGTCGTTCTCTTCCACCCAGTTGATTGATTGTTGTTCTCTTTCTTTAGGAGTGGCAGGTGCAGGCAAGCTTTTCACCAATGAAGTCCTCAAGGCCATGGCCTCTCTCAATGAGCGCCCCATAATATTTGCTCTCAGCAACCCCACAACTAAGGCAGAGTGCACTGCTGAGGAGGCCTACACTGTGACAGAGGTACTGTGCTGCCTTTTACTTTTCGCTCCGTGTGAGAGGCACTGTACCACCTTAAACTTGTTGCATACTGTGAGAGAAGTACTGTAACGCCTTTAACTTGTCGCTCACTGTGAAAGACTCACTGTTCTGCCTTTAACTTGACACAGACTGCGAGAGAGGTACCGTATCACTTTTAACTTGTCGCATACTGTGAGAGAAGTACTGTACCATCTTTACTGTATCAAGTCTCCTGATCGCAGTGCTCTGACGTTCTCATTGTCTCTCTCTCACCAGGGCCGCTGTCTGTTTGCCAGCGGCAGCCCTTTTGGAACTGTGACTCTGAGCGACGGCCGCGTGTTCACGCCAGGACAGGGGAACAACGCCTACATATTCCCAGGTAAAACAACCACACAATAATGACAGTTTAGACCACAGTGCCTTTCCTTCTGTCCTGGACTGGACTGAGAAAATGGACCTAAAGATGAGTATTGCTGCAGTTTGTCTGTACTAATTTTCTTATTTCATTTTTTTTTCAAATTTTATATATTGTTTCATAACTGTTAGTGTTCCTCGTGGTAAGCTGCTCTTTACAAATACATTTCCATCCAAAGTTTTGTCTTCTATCCAGAGTGTTCTTTTTTCTGTTAGTAATCGGAATTTTTTTTGTTAACTGACATTATTTCTACTCAGGACTGCTCAGGTCCTGCACCTATGTATAAGTTCCTGTAGGTTGTAAACTCACAGAATTGTAATCTAATCATTTTTAGACATCTTTGATAAAAAGCTTCAAACTTGTACCTGCTCACTCAGTGTCTCAGCAATTTCATTTAACATGGTTTAAAATGCAGCTCTTTTATTGTATGAACCCATTACATAATACATCTCAAATCGTTTCAAGGTTATTCGTGTATGTGGCTCCTTAAATGCTCTTAACTAATACAAGGAATACTTCGTATTTATAGCTGTCTTGTACTGACTCTTTTTAGGTGTAGCCCTGGCTGTGATTCTCAGCGGAGTACGTCACATCAGTGACACGGTCTTCTTGGAAGCTGCTAAGGTTTGTTTCTTTAATCTGTTGCTCTGTGCCTTGATCCATAACTGAATATCCGAAACAGAAGAAAGGAGAGCTTTGGATCAACTGCCATCAGTCAGTCCCACGAGAGTGGGGTGTACTCTCAAGACATAAAGGCAGTGACTGTCTGTTCGTAGGCCCTTGCAGAGCAGCTGACTGATGAGGAGATGAGCCAGGGAAGACTGTACCCGCAGCTGTCCAACATTAGAGAGGTGTCCATTCGCATTGCTGTTAAGGTAAGAGACTGTGCTGTCAGGAAGAAAACCCTCTTTCGCTGCTTGTACTTTTCCACACTGGGGAAGCAGATTAAGTCTTCTTCAGTGTTGTCTGTGCAACAAGTAATCGTAATGGAAATAAAAACAAAAAAATGGTTATCAAAGAGGAGACCAGTTGGCTCATGTTTTCCATTTGTTAGTAACTTCAAGACCTAAGAATTGAATCTGTCCCTTTCTTAAAGGATTCTTCAACCCCGTGACTAAGGATGACTCTATTCTGTGTCTCTAAGCTTTGTACTTGCGTCCCCAGGTCCTTGAGCTGAGTGCCTTTTAGGAATCTGGAAGTCTCCTTGTAATCTCCTTTGTTTCAGACCAAAAAGTTGATTTAGTTGTCTGTTTGGTAGAAATTTTTTGTTTTACTTCTCCCTTGTCGGTTCTGCATTACAATGAAGTCTATATTCTAAGCCCTGCAAACACAGAGCTCAATGTCGTGAGTTCTGGGACACAAACGTTGACCAAACCTGCCCCTTGTGATCACATGAGTGCGGACTTGCATTTGCAAAACTGTAATTGGCTGCTCTGCAGGGTAGATGCAAAACCATAAGGCTACGGCTTACTTACAAATCACTCAACACAGTTTTGTACAAGCAATACAGTATCTGAAAACGCTTAGACTCTGGGCTGTTCTGACCCTTTGCTTTTCTCTATGTTTTGTCAGGTGGTAGAGTACCTGTACGCCAACGGTGTGGCGTTCCACTATCCTGAGCCCCTGGATAAGGATGGCTACATCAGGTCCAAGGTGTGGAACACCGACTACGACTCCTTCCTGCCCGATATTTATGAATGGCCAGAGTCCGCTGCCAAGCCTCCAAAGATAGTCTAATAGCAGCGCGGTATCACGCCAGCTGAGAGTCTAGCACAGCCCCCTAGGTCAGCTCCTCGTTCAGTGCTCCCACATCTTACTCCCTTTTAGTGCTTATTTGTAACATCTGAGCAAGTTCTTTTCAGAATCTTATGCCTACTGAACATAGTGACCCCTGAAGGTGTCTGAGAACATCAGAGTGAGAACCAGAACCAAACTGTCATCTTCATTCTTAACTTTCTGTTCACACTCCAATCCAGCCATCCACTCCTGGCTGTGATCTGTCAGAACACGCCGGTTTCCTTTGATAAGATGCAAACACAGCCCTTTTCAGTCTTGACTACGCCACGCACTTTGAAACGCATTGAAAGCACAAAAAACTCCAAATGAAAATGGCCTAGGAATGGCCTAGGGTCTGTTTTTCTTTCCTTATTTGTCTTATTTCCATACCCTCAAAATATTCAGGGGATTAACATTTATAACCTGCACTCCATGATTATATTGTTGAGGTTTTGGTTCAGTGAAGGGAGCTTCACACAGATACACTGCGAGAGAGTTTGTGGCTCACTCCCGGCAGCTCAGAAACAAACATTTAACACCACATCCTGGGACTCGTTGCCTCTGAGGTTGGGTGTTTTTTCTGTCTTCTGTCATTGTTGTCAGGCGGTTATTGATCGATTATTGTATCAGTGGATAATTTTTAGCAGACCATATCTGCAGAATCCAAAGGAATGGATTTTAATTTCCCAGCTGTGTCTTTAACCAGCTGAGGCCTGCAGATGGCAGCATTGACAAGGAGCATGAGCACTTTCTTGGTGGCATGTCACAAGTTGAATCTAGGTGTTTCCGGCTCTTCTGCAGAGCTTACAGCATTCCAGTCTTTGCTTTGAAGCACTGTGCGAGACCAGGTGTACAAGAATCAAATCTTTGGCCTCCCATTACCATCCCAGCACTTAATGACGAGTTCCCGTTGGGACAAAATAAAAACAGGGCTGGTAGTTTGCTGGTGGCAGGAGCATTGAAGTGTTGATTCAGTTGAGTTAATCAGCTTCTGCATCTAAATACAAGTGGGGTTTTCATGTCTGAAACTGAACAGTTACTGGAAACATGCATCATTATATGCGCTTGTTAGTTCCTAAACTAAGGACTATTAAGCAGTGATAGTGGTGGAGAATACATGATTTACTAAACCACATAATTTATAGTATTTTCATGGTGCTATCCAAGTCACAACAGCAGTATGAGCATCACAACCCCCTACTGAGGTTGACCATTTTAACTGTGAAAGGGTGTCTACTTTCTTGAGATTACTGCATAGCAAGAGTTATACTGAAAAAGACTTACCAGTTATGTTCAATTACTTTTTTTAAATTTCATATTACAACATGTTTACATATTTACAAAAGGCCAGTTCAGGATTATACTCACCCCAACATATTCAATGCCAAAGAAAATCTGTTTATACAGGTACAGTGGTGTGCTGAGAGAACCTAAATTTATAGGTTTTTTAAATTAAAGATCTGTTTCATTTTTTAAACTATTATTGACTTGTGTTGATGTATAATTTCACTGAAGTTAATCAAATGTTGATGAAGATGTGAGTTGTTTGCACACTCTCTAAAACATTCATTCTGAACCCTTGTATATGCTGTGTTTTTATCAGTGCCACTAACATGCAAATCCCTCTTTTGAACTTTCAGTCTCAAAATATTAAAAACAGTATTTCCCTTTTCCACCAGATATCTTAAAACATGGGTTATTAAAACCTGATTTTGTCAAGTGTATTTTTGGGGGGTTAAAGAGATTTTTATTTTTTTATTAAAAGGGAAACATTTTTCCTTAACATCTGCTCATAAATCTAAGAAAAAATATTTAGAGCTGTTGATATAAATCCTAAATTGACCATCTACTTGTGGTCATGGAATCTGATGCACCTTTTCCTCCCAAGTGCCTGCTGGGATTTTCTGCTTTCCTTCCTTGGGAAGTTTCTGCAGCCTTGTACTGCAGATCTTTATCCCCACATGGGCTGGGTAGTTGTTGAAGACTCTGCAGCTTTGTCTTGACGCACATCAGCAACAGGGCCAATACTAATATACACTCCAGTTTTCTCCAACCCCGGTCCTGGTGCCCCAGTCCAGTTGGTCTTCTTGGTCACCTGTTTCAAAAGATTGCTAACACCTACAAGGTATTGATGAATCAAACAAACCATCTCTTCATTTAAGAGAACCTTGAGGACTGAACAGCACATAGATATTAATTCTAAATCATCTCCAAATTGCTTAATTTAACAAACCACCTGTTTTATTGATCAGAAAGTAATTGTTCCAGATCTTTAGAAATTGGTGACCAACAGAGCCTGCTGGATTGGAACTCTACAGGAGCAGGATTGGTGACCCCTCTGCTAAACCTTTTCCTTACTGTAATTTTATGGTTACAAAATACCACAGACATAACAATTTCAGTTCCACACGTTCCGTCCCCTTTCTTGTGCACTGTTGATTATTTAAAAAATGATTCAATATTTGTCTTAAGGGTGTACAGATTTTGTATGGCAGTAATCTTCTCAGATCCACTGAAGTCCAAGCACGGGTGGTACTTCTAAGCAGTGAACCTAGTTCCCAGTCCTGATCCTGGGGTCTCACACATGCTGGTTTTCATTGAAGCTGAGATGTAGCTTTAAATGAGTCCTTAACTGAACCAACAAGGTGCTTGGTTAAAACCTTTGTTTTGAAAAAACAAAAAAGTTTGTTTTTTCCCCCCAATCAAAGGTGGGAGATTTTAAATTATTTAAAGTCAATAGTTAAAATGCAGCCTCCAGCATGTTGTAGGTTCTAAAAATATTTTTTAATTAAATCTATTAATTGTTCTATTGAGGGTTAAATTATTTAAGTCACCAGGTGGAACAAAACCCAGCAGGTATGGGTGTCTCCAGAACCAGAACTGGGATCCCTTAAATTAGATGGTTTTAATTCTTGATGGTTAATGTAGGAAGAGGAATTTGACTTTTGTTTAGTTACATAGTTAAGTACCATTTAAACTAGTAGTGTTGACCAATTTGTATGTATTTTGCTCCCAGAACTATTTGCCTTTAAACGTCTCCCATGTCAACCCTCGTAAAAAAACAAAACAATTGTTTTAGTAGCTGGATTAAATCTTGTCTCGCATAACGTGATGCCTTGTCCTTTGCTCCAAGATGTTCATTGTTTTGTATCAGCTAATTAGATAGATACTTTACTGTCCACAGCTGTGGAAATTTGTCTTTGGCTTCTCCCACAGAAGTGCAAAGCATACAATTTAAACTGTGCCCATTTAATACAAAATCTGTATTGTCTCATTCCATTTTTTCTTTGATAATATTGTTTCAATTTTAATCTCAAATTAAAGACACATCCCTCTAGGAGAAGCAGTTAAAAGGCTAGAAGGGTAAAACATATTCTGCTAACATTGAATAAATGGGGATTTCAACTTGTTTAGTCATCAGATAACAAACCAAGTAAGAGTTGATTAAGTGGACATAATTAAGAAACTGTAATTACAGCTTTAAAACCAGTCAGAGGATGGCAATACCTACATTATGTGAAACGAGCAGTCCTAGTTAGTTTTCCAGCTAAACCATGTTCATTTATATGGTTTATAATCTTTTGCTGGATATGCAGTACTTTTTTTTAATTTTTTGCTTTCAAGGAGTGTCGATATTTAGTTAAGATGTGTTTACTGACATACCCTGAACAAAATTATGATTGGAACTACAGTATAACCTTGTAACTCTTGTAATTCTTCAAATACCTATAAAATGTATTGGTTTAAAGTTGCTTGTTTTGGGAACTTTATTTTTTTATGGTCTGTTGCCTTTGGTTTGAAACTGTTGTGCAGCAGGATTGTTCCTGTGCTTGAGCTGCCCTACGCGTGTATTGTCAAAATGCTAAATAAAGGGTTTATTTTTCTCAGTGTGTGTCTCCTGACTTGATGTATTATTTTCCTTGACTACACCCTGGACAAGGTTTGTCCATCACAGGACACAGACACACGCAAGGAGAGATAATTAGATACCAATTGATTGATTGTGTGTATAGGAGGACAGAGGAAACCAGATCACCAAAAGAAAACCCACATGAACATAGGGTGAACATGCAAACTCCACACAGAAGGACCAAAATCCAGAATTGAACCCAGTACCAGAGTTTCCTGGGGTATAGTAGTGCTGACTGCAGCCCCACTCTCTATACCTGATGGTATAGAAGCAGGTGGCAGTTTTGTTTTATAGTTTTGCATCATGTAATCTTTGATATAGTATAGAGCCTGTTTAAGAGGTACCAAGCCTTGTCATAAACATTTCATTGTTTAATAAATATCCACTCAATGTTAATATTTCAACAGTTCTTTGACCTTGTTACTGTGATTTGCTTTTCAGTGCTGGTGTAAATGATTAGTTCCTCTCTTTTGTTTGAGTATACAGTAGATGAGTAACAGGATGTTTTGATGCAATCCTCTTACCATTGTATAAGGCTCATGACAAGCACCCATAAGTATGTGTGACTCAGTTTTGTTTTTGCACTGCTAGCCAAAATAATGATAACTTCACTCTAAGTTTATAAAGCAGTACATACAATGGAATATAGTGCACCCTAGAAAATGTGATGCTATTACTGTAGTTCCAAACTCATCCATCACAATCCTATGTGTAAAATGGAGAGAAGTAACTTTCTGAATATGTCTTGCTTGTGGTCATAATTGATATCATCCTGCAGGATGATACTGGAACAAAATAACAGATTTTGAATACCACCTGAGCCTTTCTGTTCTTTGGAGGGTAGTCTGACTTGTTGTGTCTGGTAATGAGGTCAGTTTTGTTAACGTGGCACTGATAGCAGCTATGAAATGGATCACTCAGTGCTGGAAATGTGATATGGAGAGGGGATTATCTATCTGGCCTTTGGGATATCTCCTCTGTTATAGCTTGAACAAGCTGTGTTTGATCAGGTATGGGGAAGATTCAATATCTTAATTCCTCTACTTAACTATCATGTAGTTGCAGGTTAAAGGTCAGTTGGCGTTCCTTGTCTTTTTAACTCTTTTTTGCCAATGTGTGCCCAGTAAACCAAGGCACCTCCTTCAATTAGTGTTTTTCACATTATGATTGTTTTTGGTTATGATTTTGATCCAAACCGACTTGTATCTGTAGTCATTTATCCAGGTGGATGCTGCATATTGGTGGTGGTGGAGGGGAGTCCCCATTACCTGTAAAGCGCTTTGAGTGGAGTGTCCAGAAAAGAGCTATATAAGTGTAAGCAATTATTATTATTATTATTATTATTATTATTATTATTTACACAGCAGGCCTTTATCTGAAGTATTCTGAGGAATGAGCATTTCTCTGTGATGCATGAACTCACAACAGTCCAATTACAGGTCCAGAGCCCTAACCTCTGCTGCACTGATGTTCTGCTTGGGTTACTGTGTTGTGTGTGTACCATGCCTTTAAAGCTTCTAAAATTAACAAACAGCCCATCAAAAAACAACAGTGGGGGCAGGGGTCGCCTAGGTATTTGACCAAATAAAATGTTATGCAGTAGGCTTTAAATCTGATTCTGGAGGGCTGGAATGTGTGTTTTAGCTCTCCTTAAAGCACCTGGAGAGAAAAGCAGAGAGAAGTTCTTGAACTGGTCCAATTCAGCCAATTATGAGCTGATTTGATTTGGTTGGGTTGGAGCAGTGGTTCTGTGGCTAAGGACCTGTGCCTGTGGCTGGGAGGTTGCTGGTTCAAATCCCATGGCTGGCAGAGGAATCCTACTTCGTTGGGCCCCTGAGCAAGGCCCTTAACCTCAACTGCTCAAGGCGCGCCGTATAAATGGCTGACCCTGTCTGTGTGTCTATGTGTCTCATGGAGAGCAAGGTGGGGCATGCGAAAAGACAAATTCCTAATACAAGAAATTGTATAGGGCTAATAAAGTGATGTTATGTTATTTGTTTTGTTACAAGTCCAGCTGGATGGAGACTGAAACCCCTGCATGTAGGCAAAAATCAGAATGAAGAACTGCTTTCGAGAGCTTATTATCCACCTGAATAAGAAGGAGGACTACAGAGTGCAAAGGTTAACAATCATCACAGTTGCAAATAATTATATTAACGTCACTTTATTAATCCTTTACAATTTCTTGCATTATGAATTGTATACTCTTTAGGACCTCTGTCACCCAACTTTAATAGTGTGGTACCATGTGGTTCCATAAATAAGTGGAATTGGGTATTTGTGGTATCTTATAATTTTCTTTCCCTTGAGAATACGGGAAGAGGACAAACTAAATGTGAATAAAATTTGAAATGATGCCCTTAAGAGCTGAATAAAAATCACGAGATGAGATGATACACTTTACATCACAAATGTACAACAGCGTTCTCTAATCTTGTCCTTATAAAGTCAGCAAACAGAACTTTATTGCGGTCTCTTCTCAGTTTCCTAAATATTTTCTGACTTAAACGCTCTTAATTCAGCGACCTGTTCACAGATACATATAGGAACGTCAAGTTGTGAACTACATCTCCCACAATCCACCGGCACAGCACGCCCCTGTGCCGCTGGCTCTCTGGGAATCCGCAGGGATTTGTGGGAAGTATAGTCAAGCAAGTATTGCTGGAGTAGGGTAGAGGTTCAGTGTGCTTTCTGTTGACATAGTTCCAGTGGGCTCGGAGCCAGAAATCACGCCGCTGTCAGTTCCACGCACACTGGTTTCCATCATGAGGTAGTGGGGTCTGGGTATTTTATTTCTCTTTTCTTCTCCCCATCGGGTTACTCGCAAAAAATAAATATTGGTATTCCGTACGATATGTCAATGGACTTGACGTTTCTGGGGACTGGCTCTGCCTACCCCTCGCCTCACCGTGGAGCCTCGGCACTGGTCCTCCGCACGGATGGGGACTGCTGGCTGTTCGACTGCGGGGAAGGGACGCAGACGCAGCTCATGAAGAGCCAGCTGAAGGCTGGTGAGTTTGGCTGTGCGGCGGCGTCTGACAAAACCAAAAAAGGAGAAAAACTTTTTTCTCTCTCTGTCTTTAGCAGTTGCGCTGTGTGGTGACACGAAGAGGTTGGTTCATCAGGCAATCTAGCAAGCAGCCGGCGGCTGTACTCGCCCGCTCAGAGCTTGCCAGGCCGGCCTGACGGTGACGTCACGTCGACGTCACGCAGTTTGCGTGGGAGGAAGGCCGGCCGGCTGTTCTGTTTCTGGGCTGGATCCGAGCGTGTGTCGGTCTCACGCGCGGTTGATCACGTGTTGCATCTCCAGTTCTTGAATGTAGGGATTAGAGCGAACACCCGGCCAGAGATACAATAGTAGGAGACGGGGAAGATAAACAGAACTGTCTCTGGGAGGGAGGCAGGAGCTTACATTTAAATTAAAGGAGCTACTATCGTTAACCGTTTAGAGAGAAAATAAGCAGGCGAGTCTGGTACTTTAACACGAGTATGAATTAGTAGTGATGGTGTTTTTTTTTAATGCGGCTTTTATTAAACCATTTTGCCCTTCACAATACGTTATGACAGAATATAACAGTTCATTCTGCTAATACCACATTGTGATATCAAATGAGCCACTGTTTGTCCCGGAGGGCTGGGATGTCTGCAGGTTCTCCAGGTCTCTTTAAAGCTGAAGAGCTGGGAGGAGCTGTTAAATGGGTCCAGTTAAACCAGTAGCTAGCTGGTTTTCTTTGTTAAGAGCTGAGTTGGAATGAGAACACCCAGACCCACCAGCACTCCCGGGCTGGGATTGGAGTCCCCTGGGTGATTACGAATGGGCAGAGCTGTAATGCCCATATCTCTCCCCCTGTCTGATGTTCGCAGGCAGGATTACGAAGGTGTTCATCACCCATCTCCATGGCGACCACCTGTTCGGCCTGCCGGGCCTGCTGTGCACCATCAGCCTCCACAGCTGCCCCGCTCCTGCCAAGCCCCCCCCGCCGGTGGAAGTCTACGGCCCACGGGGGCTGCGCAAGTTCCTGCGCGTCGCCCTCACGCTCTCGGGCTCCCAGCTGATGTTCCCCTACGTGGTGCACGAGCTGGTGCCCGGGGATGACCAGTGCCCCCCGGAGGGGCTGCCGGACGGCTTGGAGCCAGTCCACGATGACGATGACGACGATGGCGGCGGGCGGCTGCACCCCCAGGAGGTGCTGGGCCGAACCTTCCAGCTGGACCCGGAACAGGGCTGCTACACGCTCCTCGAGAGCCCGCAGTTCGTCGTCAGGGCCTTCCGGCTCTTCCACCGCCTCCCTTCCTTCGGCTTCGTGGTGGAGGAGCGGCCGCGGCCCGGCAAGCTGAACGTGCAGCTGCTGAAGGAGCTGGGTAACGAGCGAGCGAGGGAGGGAGGGAGCGGCGCCGTGCAGGGCCTGGGCATTGTGTGTGCGCGCGGCTCTTCGCTGCAGTTAGTAGGATCTGTTTTCCGCAGACTTGATTAGCTCCCCGTGGCTCTGCGAGGCGGGAGTCCTCTAGACGCCACGGTTCGCGAGCAGACAGCTGGTCTTTCAGGCGCGCTGCCGTCCTGTCGAAATCCACAGCTTCTGTCTGTCGAAGGTGTTGAGTAGAACGTGAACAAACCCCACCCCACCCCAACTCGCGCTTCTCAGGGGTCTGGCCTTTCATTGTGCGGCACATAGCTGGAGAGTTGCTGGTGTGTGGCCCCCGTACCAAAACTGCTGGAGTGGAGCAGTTTGTCAGAGCCCCAAACGGTACCCAAACGGGAACAACCAAATTCCATTCCATTGTTTCCATTCCTCCTGGTGGGGCAAGTGGCAAGTTTATTGTAGTACCTAATTTTTGTCATGTTTGGGGAGGTCAATTGGAAAAGCTCTCGTTATATTATGATCTTGTATGGGATCAAATGATTGTATGATCTGATTTTTTTTTTTCTTACGTTCAAAGGAATTTGTGATCAGGCAATCGACAGTGATTCTAAACTGTGATGTTTTGATGTGTCAGAACTGAGTTTCCAGCAGGGCTGTTTATTGTGAAACAAAATTCCCTTAATTTGTGGCAAGGGGTTGTAGAATGAATATCAAATGTAGGACCCCATAATGAATGAGTACAGTTGGAAGTGCATCACAATAGTACATGCTTTTTAAATGGCCAACACAAACACATTTTTGTGGGGTAACCAGATTGTGCAGGAATATCAATTAACCTGCTCTTTTTTTTAATATCTGTATAGGAATAAAGCCAGGACCCATTTGTGGGAGGTTAAAAAACGGAGAATCTGTAACGCTGGAAAATGGAGTCGTGGTTTCCCCAGAGGACGTGCTGGAGGAAGCTGTCCCGGGCCGGAAGGTGTGCATCCTGGGGGATTGCTGCAGCCTTGTGGGCGACGCGGGGCGCAGGCTGTGCCACGGAGCTGACGTCCTGGTCCACGAGGCCACCCTGGAGGACAGCCTGAGAGACAAGGCCTGGGAGCACGGGCACAGCACGCCCAGCATGGCCGCCGAGCTGGCAGAGGCATGCCAAGTCAAGCAGCTGGTACTCTACCACTTCAGCCAGAGGTACAAACCCCAGAGCCTCCTCAAGGAAAAGGAAGACGACAACGTCCTGGAGCTCAAGAGGCAGGCCGAAGCAGCTCTGAACGGCGGGGAAGTTATCCTTGCCGAGGACTTCTTAACGATACCTATTCCCAGCAAAAGATGCAGTTAGTTTTTTTATAAATAGAATTGTTTTTATCTGCTGAAGTGTCATGGCTATTTTTGTATATGATGACATTGACTTGAGGTGTAAAACCTTATGACCCCCTTATTTTAAATTGCTTTGGTTGGAATCGTTTTTATTCAAGTTCTCTTATAGATAATTGTCAGGCATTTTAGAAAATGCATGCCAGAGAAAATGGTTTGATGCCATAAAGTGACTGAGGTCCTGGTGTCCTGCTCCTTCTTTGGAGACAACATGACAGTACAATCACCCCTGTCCACTGGAAAGCAGGCTTGCTCAGTGCTCGGTATGTCGGCATGGCTCATCAGACCCTGTCCTACAGATGCTAGAGTGGGAGCACCATGCGATTCCGCTGAATTATTTTGAGGGTGGTTATTTTAGTATGGTGGGATGGGGCACTTATTTTGTATTTAAAAGTGGATCTATTTCATGCAATAAAAGTTTAATTGATCGTACTCTAAACCTGAATCTGATATCAGTGGAGGTTAAACTGGGTCTTATCTGTTCTAATAAGTGCTACTTTTCTTGTTCCTTCAGTGCTCGTGTTTATCAGGTCCAATGCTGCTGCTCCTTTTCTCTCTTTATGATGAAATACCAAGCTCACCTTGGTAATGCAAAGGGTCTTCAAGACGATATCTAGCTTGAAGCTGACAGTTAAGGTCTTCCCCCATTAATGTTAAATGGAAGTGTAACTGCAAAGCGATGGTGTTTCGCGGTGAAAAGCTGAAATGAATGTGGGTGAACCAATGTGGTGTGTGTGGGCCTGCTTTGAAACCTTTTTTACTTTAAAAATAAAAACGGTCTAGCTTAAACTGTTTGAAATGGATTTTGCCAGTGGGTGCCCTTGTGAGAACAAGGCTCCTTTTAGTGTGGAATGCCATGTAGCCTTCACCCACATTAGTGACTCACGGTGTTGTTCACCGGCAGCAGAAACAACCAAGACAATATGAGCGTCTGAGATGGGAGAGCCTGAGGCAAAATGAGAGCTTCTTCCAGAGACACAGCAAGAAGATGTGGTGGATTAGTATAATTATATGCTTTGAAACAGTCAGCCATAAACTGAGTATATAAAGCATCTTAATCCCCCTCTGCTGCCCTAGTGGCCTCTTAGCCTAGATACACTGTTCAAACTGTGAGCCAAGCTCTGATTCAGTTAAAAGAATGAGTACAGATGTCTTATAATAATAATAATAATAATAATAAACTTTATTTTATATTTTATATTTTAAACTTCTAAAATATCTCAGGCACTTCTCTCAAGAAGCAACCAAGTAACGACACAATCTAAATTTTTGTGTTTGAAAATCAATGGCTCACAAATCTGTAAAGGAAAAGAACTTGAAATGCATGACCCAAATACTCTTAAGACTTTTTGTAACAGCGCTATTGGTAGCTTTAGTGAGAATTTCAGTGGGAACTGAACTTATCTCAAAAACAAAGAAGCACTCCATTCCTCTTGTGGGAGGCATTCATGCAGTATTTCCTTGACATGAGTTTTCTCAAAGCCTCATGATTTGGCCTATAAATATGAGAAGTATGGAAATACTCCTTCAGAATGTGTAAAAAAACATTGCACATGAATTCTTTCCATAACATGGATGTACATGATAAGAGATACATTTGATATCTGTTTTTCTCACCTGGTGTAAAGATATGAGGAGTTACCGTCTGTATGAAATTATGTTAGTTTTTCATTTTGTCCTAAGACATGAACTGTAAAACCAAGTTAATTTATTTTTCTCTATCTTTACTAAATGCATCAGTTTTCTTTAAATGCTTTAATCACTGTTTTCCTCTTTGTTCAGTTATTACTGTAAAAAAATACTACTGCCAAGTCAGCATTTTTGTCTTATTATTTTATGAGATCCTTTAGAATCAAAATATTTGCAATACTACAGTGGTATGGCCATGTAATGAGATGAGATCAAGACCTAATAAAAGACGAAGTAGAAGAGGGTATTGAGGGAAAGAGGCCACGAGGAAGACCAAGAATAAGCTGGCTTGACTCAGTGAAAGAAGATAACGGTAAGGCGGATATTGATGTAGGTGCCTGGAGAGACAGGATACGATGGAGGAGGCTAGTGGGCGAGGCAATGGACTGGCTTGGGTTCGAGATGCCACCTCAGTAAAGTGAGTAGAATCATTTTTATGCTATTACACTCTGATAGTCAGGAAACCCTTGTCTTCTGACTATATGGCAGCAGAAGGCAGAATATCAAACATTATGTGGCTTTAGTGAAAAGCAGCATTGTGGAAGAAAGGAACAAGTAATAGGCTTATTCCATGCTGAAAAGAGAAGAAAGAAAACGCCTTGGGTGTGAGAGAAGAAAATCTAATTGTGGAAGAAATCCTTATTTTCTGCACTGTGCAGTAACTTGCAAAATCTCTAGATTGCCAGTCACTAAAGGTTAGACTTTTAGGCAAAAAAAACAGTAAAAAACTGGAAAATGGGCACCCTTTCTTTGTAGTTCAGCTCCATTTTTAGATGGTCCAAACAAGGTACTGTTTCACTTACTCAACATAAGTACACAAAGCAATTTTGGACCTTGACACATCAACATTCTTTTATCATATATCAAATATATACCTATATATTTCATTTTATATCATCTGATCTCTGATACAATTGCCAAACAGAGGTTCACAACTGGTTTGCAAACATTGTACCAGGAGGATATGCAAAAAGACGGAGATCCTACTCTGGACAGCCTAAACTGCAAGCTAAACTTTTCATGGTGTCTTTTTGCAGCAGTGAAAAAAGAACTCATGGCTGGTACTGAGCATGAAGTTTTAGGATTCAATATAGGGTGGGTGATTACATTATTAAATTGACACATTACTGACTTGCTTTTGAAAATATGGGTTAAGTAGTCAACAGAATCTTACAGTGAAAAGATCCACATTTAAATCAAAGAATGTTAAAAGTGAATGATATGTTAGCACATTTAGAATACTGTGTTCGATTTTGCAGTAATCTTGTCAGAAAAAGGTAACTGCTTCTTGGAAAGACTTCATAGAGTGATGACTAGGATCGTTCCTGACTGACAGCATGTCTCTCTCTGACAGATCAAAGTAGCAGAGTCTCTTCAGTCTTGATAAGAAGAGGTCAGGGCGGGATTGACCCAAGTATTTGAGGTCTTGAAGTGTACTGATAAAGTCACTTCCTGTGGTTTACTTCAAGCTCAGCAGTGGCACATGGAGCATGAATAGGCATTAACTGTAAGTCAAGCTTAAGAATAAACACCGCTGGACTTTTAATGACATCTACAGTATATCTCACTGCTGCTGAAGGGGCCAAACTGCCAACTAGATCCTAGTCCCTAGGATCTTCCAAGAAAAGGCTGCTTTCAGTTTCATTAAACAGAAAAAAACATTGAAACAAAAAAATACAGAAAACATGAAGGGGTAATGACTTGCATTAAAAAACTAGAGGGCGAGCTTTAATGAAGTGAATGCCAGTGCATTTGTCTGTTAAAGACTTCAAGAAACATTCTTAAAATGGTCTAATTTAGAAGATAATTTGGTTGGTGGTTTCTTTGACTACTCAGATTCGAACAAAAATCTCCAGGCCCTGGGAAGAACCTGGAATTCAGCAAGTCCTTGAGAGCAATGAGACCCCAAATCCGAGGCACTGAATCCCTTGATATTTCATTGCCCACTATATATGACTTACTGTCAGGTTAGTCAACATCAGAGGTCATGGTAGTGTTGGGTGAGAAAGGTGCACGCAGACGACAGATTTGAGGAACCAATTTAAGAAATGTTTTGATGAAAACAAAATGATGGCATGGCTAAATACAGGTGCTCAAGACTGCATGTAGTGCTACAATATAAATAACAGAAACAATTGACAGTCCTGCACTGTAACTAGAAGAATTTATCACGCAACCTAAGGCCTAGTGTTAAAATTTGTGTAGTTATAAAATTACATTCTCTCATCTGATTAAATCTAAATAAAAGATTCACATTTATTTAATAAAAGCGGAATGTCAGCACTCTATGCAAGAATGTTGCTTATCATGCAGGATCTACTTCTGACAATTATCCTTACCTGCTGTTTTTATTTTTAGATATTTTACATCACGAAGGTATGTGAAACATCGCAAAGTAAGAAGCACGCATAACACGCAGTGCCCACTCATGTTGTGTCTATGTGTGTTTTTGCACATTGCCCATAGCTCGCTCCAAGAAAGGGAGCGACTGTTCCGCGCCATGGCCCGGGTATCGGCGTGAAGTCACATCTCCTTTCTGCTGGGTCCTGAGTGGGCGCCGATGGTGCCAAACAGCGCTGGAACTGCGCACACACGCCAGGCCGCTCCCCGCCGCCCAGTGCGCAGGCGCCGTGCGCCATGTTGATACAGCAGCACCAGCGGCGGAGGCGGTCGGATGGAGGCTCCGTGTGAGAGGGGTGGATTTGTTTTTTTATTTTGTTGCTCGCCGTCCCGTTCAAAGGCGCACGACGATTCCTAAACCCCCGGTGATACCGGATCCCGCTTCCCCTTGGAAAGGTGAGGGACTGGGCCGGAGCGGCCCGCAGACCGGCGGGGAAGAGGAGTATGGGGAGGGGTGGTGGAAGAAAGGAGAGCAGGGCGCTCCGCCGGCGGGGAAAGTAAAAGTTTGTGTTTTTGTTCTCGGCACTGGCGGGCCGGGGCGAGAGGGAGAAGGGTTTGGAGGCACAACAGCGTCCGCGGAGGGGCCGCCGTGTGCCGGCTGCGTTGCGCGGCCCTCGCTGCTGTGAGCCGAGGCGGCTCGGGGGTGTTTTCGGGGTAGCGGGGTCGGGCTGTGCCGAGGCGCTGCTTCTGCCCGCTGGGGCGGCGGGGTGTCGCACCGAATAGCGTCCGGCTGCACACGGCCCCCTGCGGGAAACGGGACTCGCTGTCAGGGTGTTGGAGAGCTGGGGTTGAGCTCCGGGAGTGTGTTGTTTTTTTGGGGGGATTGGAGAGGGTGGCGTCTTGGTCTGTTTGTGTCAACGCACCTCTCCGTCGGTAAGATCGCTCCACACACTTGCGCTTTTCTCTGCAGCTGCGCTCCTGAAAAGCGGGCGTCCCGGCTTCGGATGTGTGCACGGTGTCGAGGAGATACCCCGCTCGCGTTTGCCGAGTTTAGGGGTTGTATTTTCCCTGCCAGCCGGTTTAAATGGGGGAAGTAATATTGTGCATTCTCGTAGCTGCTGTTTCTCTGGGTACAGCTTTTCCCACGCACGGAGCGCTGTGGTCCGCGTTCACTCGTGTGCTGTCTTGACGTGCGGGATCAGACCGTTTCCAAGACTTCGAGGTCCAGAAGCTTGTTCCTGTACTGCTGTCGGTTAAAAATCGATCATCTCTTATTATTTAATTAACAGTTGAATTGCGCGTTCGGTGCAGTTTAGGGAAAGGTACCCAGTTAATGCAGGATCTTCCCGAGAGTGACATCTTTCCAGACGTACCTCTGTTGTGCTTCCAAATCGTGTAGTGGA